AAATAGTAGGTGACCAATAGCAGAATCAACAATAAGATCACTAAATGCAGTGTAAGACTTTTCTGCAGTTACTGTTTAAAATGCATCACATTAGGTGTGTATAACCAAAATGCTATGTCCCAAGTTACTTGAGCTTGTAATTTCATTCTGTGGTAGAGAGCTTGCACAGGGCCCTAGGTTTGGTCCCAGCCTGAGGGAGGGGGAGGGACTCCTGCAATGAAAGCTTTGCATATATTACATTGCCTGGCTTTTCATCTGGTACATGACTGACTTTAGTTTCTACATTTAGATCTTGAGCTTTTTGTAATTTGTCTCAGTATGAGAAATAGATACAGCTTTATCTTTTTCCAACCTTAAAATTTTGACTTGTATACTCTTTTGTATGTGTATGGGGTTGGGGGGAACAGGGGATTATATGCAGGTTTATGTGTGTGCGGCTACCAGTGTATGTGCCTGCAATTAAATGTCAGAGGCTAACCTCTGGTTTTTTACTTGTTTTCTTTCTTTTTTTTTTAATGCTCTGTGTGTGTGTGTGTGTGTGTCCAACATGCATGCTGTGGGATGAGGACAACTTCTGCAGAGGATGACAGCTCCTGGAACTCCTTTCTTTCTACCATGTGGGTTCTGTGGATTGAACTCAGGTCATCAGGCTTGGCAGCAGGTGTTTTTTTACCTGCTGAACTCTCTCTCTGACCCCTACCTTGGTGCGACCTGGAGCTCACTGATTAGGGTGTGTTGCTGACCAGTGAGCCCCAGGGGTTCCCTGTCTCCAACTCCCCAGCTCTGGAATTATAAGTACATGCCATCACACCCAACTTTTTTTTTTTCATTTATCCATTTTTTTGTGTGTGTATTTCATATAGAACATCCTAAACAATCTTATTCATCTTTATACCCGCATCCCAAATGGCACCCTCCCATAGCCCCCCACCCCAACTGGAGCCTATATACTCTGTCATCCCTGTTACTGTCCACTGTTATCAGTGTCCCCAGCCGTTCCCCCGTGCTAGTCCATCTGCTGAGTCTAGTCAGCCTGTCTAGAGTTCCATGTTTTAGGAAGATCAGCTCTTCCTCATCTAGCAGCAATCAGTTGCCAAACACCCAGGTTTTTTGTGGGTGCTGGGGATAAAACTCAGATCCTCATGTGTACATAGCAAGGACTTTGCTCAGTCTCCTCAGTCCGGTTTTCAACTCTGTGAGGCAGAATCTCATAGAGCTCAGGCTGGCACCAATTTTGCCATGTAACCAAGGATGACTTTGAACTATCGAGTCCCCTGCTTTTACCTTCAAAGTGCCGGGATGACAGGTGTGTCCGCATACCCAGCTGCTTCTTATGCTTGCGTTCTTTTCTGTGGGATTCTGAGTGGACACATGAGAGCATCTCACTGCCTTTGTACCTCTTTTTTTTCTTGTCCATGTTCCTGAACTGTTTCTGAAATATGCTTTCTAGATATTCACATTCTTTTTTGTTTGTTAATTAATTTTTTTCAAGCCAAGGTCTCACTATATATCCCAGGCTGGCCTGGAGAAACTTACCATGTGTCCCAGGCTGACCTTAAACCTGCCGTCCTACCTCAGCTTCTAACTGCTGGAATTACAGGCATGCACCACTGTGCCTCACTTTCACTAATTCTTTGGCTGTGCCCCTTTTGTTAAGCAGCCTCTGATTTATTTAGCTTGAATGCCATTATATTCCTTAAGTTGGTCTAGGTTTTTTTCAAATATGTTCAGTGGTTTTGGTAGTATTTCGTTCCTTATCTGTGTATTTTAGTCCTACTTTCATTCTTTAAGCATTTAAATAGAGTTTTTATGCATTCTGTCTGATGATGCCACTTTCCTTAAAGCTGTGGTTGGGCTGGTTCTGCTGTTCACTGTCTTCAGAGCCTTGCTGGCACTGGCCTCTTTCCTAGGATGTCTTATAATCTGGGGTCGTATACCATCTTCATTTAGGCCCTCTCTGAAGCAGTACTACAACATCTGCTCTCAAGTTCCATCTCTCCAGAGAGGAGCAGATGTGCTTTTGTTCTGCCAAGTGGTCTGGGACAACTTGAAATTAATTGTCTGGCTTAGAGTTTCCCAGGCCACCCAGGTAGTTTAGCCCATTTAAGAGTAGTAGGCAGGGTTTTTGTTTTGTGTTGTATTTTGGAACTCACTGTTTCTCTTAAAATGTAGCCCTTTAAAGTTTTGGACTCTTAATGAGCTATTTTTGGATTTGTTTTGTTTTTATGTTTTTGCCCTTTTTTGTTGCTTGTTTCTTGAGACTGAGTCTCCCTTTAACCCCAAATGGCTTGGAACTTACTATGTAGACCAGGCTGGCCTCTATCTCAGAGTTCTGCCTACCTCTGCCTCAACTAAAGGCTGTGCCACCACGCTGAGTAACAGTTTTTTAATTACGTGTGTGTGTGTGTGTGTGTGTGTGTGTGTGTGTGTGTGTGTGTGTGTTCATTCAGAGGACAGCTTGCAGGAATTGGTTCTCTCCTTCCTCCATGTGAGTCCTGTGGGTAGAATTCAGGTCATCAGACTTGGTTGCAGGTGCCTTTACCTGCTGAGCCATCACACCAGCCCAAAACTATATATTCTTTTTTTAATATTAATAGAGTTTTAAACAAAGAAAAAACTTATAAAAGAATCTAAGGGAGAAGGCATGGTGGCGCATGTCTTTAATCCCAGCACTCGGGAAGCAGGGCAGGTAGATCTCTGTGAGTTGCAGGCTAGCTGGGAGTACAGGGAGACCCTGTCTCAAAAGACTGAAAAAGAAAGAAAGAATCTAAGGAAAAGAAAAGTAAGCCTTCCCTTATGTGCAAGGTTGTGGCCCTCTGTGGCTTGCGTGGCCACTTCTCAGGCCTCAGGCCACCAGCGAGCGTCCCTGCTTGGGCTGACCAGGGATCAGGAGACTTGCTCCCTCTTTCTGTCTGGTGGTTTTCCCTCTCCCTGACCCCCTGCCACCCCAGTGCTTTGTTTCTCCTCTGGCTTAAGTTCTCCATCCTCTTTCAGGTTTCACATAACAAATTTAGCTGAAGAGCCATTATATGTAGAGTCTCCTGTCCCTTGAATTTTGTCATGCACTTTTATAGGGACCATTTCATAAACCTGCCAGCAGTGATTCAATGAATGAGGGACTGAGATAGGTGGCATGGCTCTGCTGAGTCAACCCATGCCAACCTGTTGCTAACCCTGTTAGCAACCATGGATGTCCATTAAGAAGTTATTCCAGACTCTAAATGAATTCTAAAAGTCCAGAACTCTTTGGTTTGTTAGTTTGTCAAGATAGCGTTTTGCTAAGTAGTCCCAGCTAGCCTTCAACTCATTACATAACCCAGACTGTCTTGGATCCTCTTGCCTCAGCCTCCCGAGTGCTGGTATTATAGACATGTGCCACCATACCCCAGCTACTATTTGAAAAAACACCATTTTACTTATCCCCAACTGGTCCAAGTTCAAAATGTAAATAGGAGTAAAAAATATGTTTCTTTCTGTCCTTGTTACTGGAGAGAAACAGAACAGTAAGTGAGCATAGGTGAGGAAAGCAAGAAGTTCATTCTGTCAGCTGCTGAATTCCACATGTCACATTACCTGAAGATCTTAACAGAGTTGCAGATGATACCTTGAAGATGTCTTGACTTGGAAAGTTGTTGGGACGTCACTGACCCGAGGCCTGCTTATTCCCAGCTTTATTTAGTGCCTTGTATACCCTCTTACAGTTCACAAGATACCACCTGCTGGGTGTGGTGACTCACCCCTGAAACCCTAATACTTGGGAGTCCGAGGCAAGAAGCTTGTTATGAGTTTGAGGCCAACCTGGCCTACAGAGTAAGACCCTGTCTCAAAACCTACAAGCAACAAAAAACGGGATACCACCTTAAACAGCCCTTCCTTCAATTTGCTGGCCGTTTTGGCTCATAATTTCTTTTAGACAATTTAATTAAGACCTAATTGAGGGGACTGGAGAGATGATTCAGTGGTTAAGAGCACTGACTGTTCTTGCAAAGGACCCAAGTTTGAATCCCAGCACCCACATGGCTGCTAACAACTATCTATAACTCCAGTTCAGGGGATCCGACATCTTCTGACCTCTGAGGACACTGCACAACACAGGTGCTCTTACACACATGTAGGCAATACACTCATACACCCAAAATAAAAATAATAAAATATTTTTTAAAAAAAGCACTGGCTGCTCTTGCAGAGGACCCGGGTTCAATTCCCAGCCTGTATGTGGCGGCTAACAATCGTCCATAACTAAAGTTCCAGGGGATCCAGCACCCTCTTCTAACCTCCATGGACATTGCACAACTCAGATACACTTACATACATGTAGTGTATCTACTCATACACATAAAATAAGTAAAATACTGCTGGGCATGGTGGTACACGCCTTTAATCCCATCACTCAGGAGGCAGAGGGAGGCAGATCTCTGTGAATTTGAGGCCAGCCTGGTCTACATAACAAGTTCCAGGCCAGCTGGAGTTACAGGGAAACCCTGTCTCAATAAGATCCCCCCCCCAAAAAAAATAAATAAAACATTTTTTTTAAAAAGACCTACTTGAAGGGCTGGAGAGACAGCTCAGGGGTTAAGAGCACATCCTGCTCATCCAGAGGTCCTGAGCTTGGTTCCTAGCACCTACATCAGATGGTTCACAAGGCCTATTCCAGGAGGATACAATGGCTCTGGCCTCCCAGGGCACTTACACTGTTACTTGCACTTTAACTAAAGAGTCAGAACACAGGAAGGTTAAGTGAAGGACATAAAGTTCGTAGGTGACTAGGCAGTGTAAATACAACAGCTAGTCTGACCTTCAGCTCCTGCCGTTCAGTCACTGGCTGTCTTTGTATGTAAAACCCCTGCCACTATCCATCCCTACCCCAGGTTTAAGTCTGTATAGAGCACATTTTCAGTAGGCGGGGTACTGTGGAAACAGTTGTCCTTACTTTTCTCTGGTAAGCCTGGGAGTTCTGCATCCTTCCTGGTACTAACTTGCCAATCTCTTGTCCACTTCAGTTTCTGTTCCAGCAGCTGGGAATGCTGGTATCCTTTGTGAAGAGCCACATCAGACCTTATATGGATGAAATAGTCACCCTCATGAGAGTGAGTAAAAGTTAATGCCCTCACCTGCTCATCTGCATTTGGGTCAAGGGATGCTCAGAAGCAAGTCTGATAACATGGACATTTTCTTCATGGGTCATTGTGGGGCTGTTATGCTAACTATAAAAAGTAGAACTCTACAGTGACCCGTGAAGAAAATGTTCATGTTATTCACTGGGTTCTGAGGAGGAGGGCAGATGAGGATTGCTGCAGGCGCCTAGCTCCCAAGTACAAGAATACAAGCTGTAAAGTCTGAGGAGAAATCCTGAAGTAATTGTTCTGCCAGAGACATTCTAGACTTATTTGCCCAACATACAACAAAGCAATTTCACTTTAATATTGCAACAGTGTTTTCTATTCCCATAAAAGCCCTCTTCCTCACTACCCATAAAGCCAGACTGGTAGAGGGGACTGGGAATCAGGTTTTCCTTGGCCCGTGAAGTAGCATAGTCACCTGTCAGCATGGAGACCAAGGTGATACTTTGCCCTGCAGCCTCCAAAGGTATGAATGTCATCTTCTGACTACAATGGCACCTGAGGAAGGACTTGGGGCCCAGCATTTCATAACGTGCATTAAACAGGTGCTAGAAGATACCCCAATATCTGTCTACAGTTCTATGAAATTTAAACGATTCTGTGAGGAGGCTGCTTTGTCTTAGCTTGATAGAAGCAGCAGGGCCAATATCAGAATGACTGGTATCCCCAGGGGAACTTGTCAGCACTTGGATTTCAGAATAGAAAAGCTCCTACATGTATAAATCATTAAAAGCTGCTGTATTCCCTGTTCCTACCTCAGAGGCCTCAGCACAAGGAAGATGTAGGCCAAATGCTAAGGTGCCCAATGAATGGCCTTGGAGGAAGGATAGACAGGAAGGAAACAGTGTACTCAGGGTAGGAAGCCGAGCACTCTCTGATCTGCTCCCCTCGCCTCCCCAAAAGACATATGACCAAAGCACAGGGATTCAAGCCTCGCCTGCAAAACACAGCTTTTGTTTCATCCCAGTAGAGTGGATACAGCAGGCGCTCTTCCTTTGACTGTTGATCCTGGACACTTTAATGAGCTCCCCTGAGCCTAGGGAAGAGAACAGTCTGAGAGAGTGATCTAGCCCGCATCCCCGGGCTGAATACTGGCTTCTGAGTAGCGAAACTCCTCTGAAGAGCCTATGGTGATATAGTTGGGACGCTGGTGGGCCTTCTTTGAAGAAGGCAGAGTGCGGTCCAAGTGAATAAACATCAGCAAACCAAGGGCCTGAAAACCTGCAACGTTCCCATCTTGAGAGGACTGTTTTCCCAGTAGAAGAAAGTTTAAGCAGAATTTTCTAGTTTGCTTTTATTGACTCCTGGTCTGAGTTGTTTAGGGCCCAAGAGTTTTAATACCTATGCGCTGCTGTCATTGGTGGGGCTTCTGTTATTAGTAAGTCTCCTGCTCTAGAGGTTTGAAAGAAGACTGGAGGCTCCCTACTTTGTGAAATAAGTTGAAATGACAGCTTGTCCTGAAGTCAGTGGCTTGGGCCGGTTTGCCTTACAGTTTCAAGGCCGGATCTGGAGCCCATTGACCGGGTTTTTATTTCTGTAACTTTTGTGGATTGTAATTACATAGATGAGAAAGTGCTCATTTTGGAAGTCAAGCCTGATGGACACATTTTTAGGGAACAGATGTCAGATGCTCTCTAGCCAACTATAAATCTAGAAAGGACACGAAATCTTGGTAATACTAGAGTTCCCTTCTCATGGCAGTCAAGTGGTTCCTTTCCTTAGTAAATAAAGCATTCACCCAATAGCACTTTAGAGCTTTTAGAGTGTGACTTAGATTTAAACAGGTCTGTTTTGTAAACATATTTAAGTGACTAGAGTATTCCAGATGCTATTAGGTTCTAAGGATGCAGAGATGAATTGAAGCAGTTTCTCACTCTTAAGTCCAGTAGAGGAAACTTGCAAAGCAGATTAACATTACAGGTCCTGGGAAAGGACCCAAAGTGGGTGACTGCAGAAGAGGAAGAGTGGGCAGTGGGGCTTGTACCAGAGACACAAAGACAGGGCTTTACTGAGTAAGCAGTGGGGCTCCAGACAAAGGACAGCATGAGCACAGCAGGGAACCCGAGAGTCTGCAGTACCTAGGAAGTGCAGTGTAATTTGTCCAGCATAGCTGTGACCTGGTGCCCAGTGAGAGGAAGATAGACAGAGTTCATCTAGGCAGACTGTGGTCACTGAATTTTGCCTCTTTTTAGCCATCTCACTTCCTGGGTTCGCTAGACAGGAGGAGCACCTGTCTCTACCTTTCTGTCTCTTCTGCTTTGTAGGAATTCTGGGTCATGAACACCTCAATCCAGAGCACAATCATTCTTCTCATTGAGCAAATCGTAGTAGCCCTTGGAGGTGAATTTAAGCTCTACCTGCCCCAGCTGATCCCACACATGCTGCGTGTCTTCATGCATGACAACAGCCAAGGCCGCATTGTCTCCATCAAGGTGAGCAGCCTGGGAGCCACTGGAGAGGTTCCCAGCCTCCTCAGAGTCTCTGGATGATAACTTAAGATGTGAGACCCTGTTCTAGGAGACATGTTGATGTCTGCTCCACAAGACCAGAGCCCAGGAATATGGACACCTGATGCTTGCAAGTTTCTTCCAAGAATATTCATAGCTCTTTCTTGATTATCCTTATTTTTTGTCTCCTTTAATGGATTAGTAATGTTGAATCTTCAGTCAGTTTTCTCTTTTTTTGGTCTTTTTGAGACAGGGTCTCCCTGTAGCCCCAGCTGTCCTGGAACTTGCCAGGCGTGGTGGCGCACGCCTTTAATCCCAGCACTCGGGAGGCAGAGGCAGACGGATCTCTGTGAGTTCTCTATTATATAGTAAACTGATATACTATCAATGGAAATAAGCATAGAAGGCAAAGTAACACATATTCACATGAAATAAGAGGGAAGAGACCATGCAAAGAATGGAGTCCAAAGCTGCTGGCAGGGCCTTTCAGAGTCCCGACAGCCCTGAATTATCCATACCCACTCCTGGCCATATTCCCAGCTATCAGTACCTGGCTGCATCTCTTCACCACCTTGCCTTTCCTCCCTTTTGCAGCTCTTAGCCGCAGTCCAGCTGTTTGGTGCCAACCTAGATGACTATCTGCATCTGTTGTTGCCTCCCATCGTGAAGCTGTTTGATGCCCCTGAAGCCCCACTGCCATTGCGAAGGTAAGCATTCCACTCCGAGTTGCTGGGCCTTCTTTCTGGATTTTGTTCATTTCAGCACCCATTATTTTAGTCCAGAAATGTCCCAGATTTATAGGACTCTTGTTTGCTCCCTCTCTGACATATAGTTTGGATTCCTATTACCCAAGATACCTCAAAACCATTCCTTCCCATTCCCTTAGTGTGATTATTAAGGTAGCCTTCAGTTCACAATTGTTATAGGGCAGCGTTGGAGACGGTGGACCGTCTGACAGAGTCCCTCGATTTCACTGACTATGCCTCCCGGATCATTCACCCCATTGTTCGAACACTGGACCAGAGCCCAGAGCTTCGTTCCACAGCCATGGACACGCTGTCTTCACTTGTCTTTCAACTCGGGAAGAAGGTAAGGTAGGAGTCCTGACCAGACCCATGCTCTTGTACCTTGTTTAGGACGAAAACTTTGTGAGCTTCTCCGGTTGTCAGTATATCAGTCAGTACATAAGTCTCAACCATTGTTGAACAATATGGAATTGTTTGGGTTTTGTTGTTGTTATTCTTCATTTGCTCAGCAAATTTTAATTAAAACATCTGTGTGAGCCAAGTGTCATTCTGGGTGACATTAAAGAAAATAGCTAGGGTTGCAGCTCAGTTGGCAGCTCAGATCTTACCTACCTAGTGCACAAAGCCCTGGCTGGGTTCTGTCCCCAGCCCTGCACAAAACTGGACATGGTGGACTTGGGAAGTAGAAGCAGGAGGGTCAGCAGTCCATCCTCAGCTCCATCTATGTTCCGGGTGCTGATGTCCACTAACATACACATAAAAATAAATAAATAAATATTTATATATATATATTAATATTTTTATTACATATTTATTTATGTATTTTCAAGTAAGGAAGGATTTATTTTAGCTCATGTTTTCAGAATATACCATCTATTAAGATGGAGAAGGCAGAACAGAGGGAGTATGTGGGCAGCTTAGCAGATCAGGAAGCAGAAAGAGCAAGATGAGGAGCAGGGCTGGATTAAAACTCTCAAAGGGTTTTTGTAAGATTGATTTTTATTTTATGTGTACGAGTGTTTTGCCTGCATGTATGTACACTCATGTCAGGCAGTGCCTGGAGACCAGAAGAGGGCACTGAATCCCCTGGAACTGGAGTTATGGATGGTTGTTAGCTGCCATGTGGGTACTGGGAACTGAACCCAGGTCCCCGAGATCAATTAACTGCTGAGCCATTTCTCCAGTCCTACTTTGGCTTTTATGCTGAGCAAGACTGAAAGGCTTGGGGGATTTTCAACAAAGGAAAAATAAAATTGACAATATTTTTAAATGTTGACTCTTAATAACATGGGAAAATGGACAGTTTGGGGACAAGAAACCTCGGGGAGGCCACCACAGGAAGCCAAATGGAAGACAGTGGGGGTTGGGCTGGCAGTATAGCTGGGGTAGAAAAGGAGTTCTTGGAAATACCACAGAGCCTGCCAAACACCCTAAAGTTATCTTCATTGTATTTGTGATAATGTATTTTCTCTACTGTTTACTCTCCAAAATAATACTTACTGGTTTCTTTCTCCCTTCTGTCATAGTACCAGATTTTCATACCAATGGTGAATAAAGTACTGGTGCGACACCGAATCAACCACCAGCGCTATGATGTGCTTATTTGCAGAATCGTCAAGGTGAGCAGCACCCTTCTGCTTTGAGGCCACGTCTTTCCTCCTTGATATTCTTGTCCTCTAGCAGAGGGCATATCCCAGCTTTTTAGCTCTGGCTGGATGGCACACTTGTTTCGGGGGGATAGTTCTTTGAGTGCTATAGGCTGTTTGGTTTCTTCTGCAGCCTTTCTGTTCTGCCTCTGCGGCTGAAAAGCGGCCATATGCAGAACAGCAGGTGATAAGTCTGGCAGCATTGCAGTAACTTTCTTTGTGGACACAAAAATTTGAGTTTCTTAGAATCTTCATGTATTACAAAAGATTTAGTTTTCAAACCAAGTATGGTGGCGCACGCCTTTAGTCCCAGCACTTGGTAGGCAGAAGCAGGTAGGACTCTGAGTTCTAGACCAGCCTGGTCTGCAGAGTGAGTTCCAGGCCAGGCAATTCAGGGCTATATAGTGAACCCCTGCCCCCCACCCCCCATTGGCCTGGTTGCGTGACTGTACCACACAAGGCCTATAAGTGACCAGAGTTACTGATTCACAGGGAGAATTCAGCCTGCCTTGTGATTCATTTTATGCACACATTGCAACTTTTATTGTTTGTTGAATATTGGCTCTTCCAGAAAGTCTGAATTGCCTGAGGTTTATGCATGTTTTCTAAACTGGGAGCATCCAGTGGAATTACAGGTGTTTTCTATATCTCTGTTTTCAGGGATACACCCTTGCTGATGAGGAAGAGGACCCTTTGATCTACCAGCATCGAATGCAAAGGAGTGGCCAAGGAGATGCGTTGGCCAGTGGACCAGTTGAGACAGGACCCATGAAGAAACTGCATGTCAGCACCATCAACCTTCAAAAGGCAGGTCCATTGTTTCTAGAGGACTTGGGAAGGAAAGCACTGCTCTCTCTCATTCAAAACTTTCATCTCTTGCTACCCTAAATTTAAATCAACCAGAAACCAGCTTTTGTTTTTCAAGAAATCTAGTTAGCATGAACTTAGACCATTATATCTAACTTTTGTTTTGCTTTGTTTTATTTTGTTTTGGCGTTGTTGTTGTTGTTGCTTTGAAACAGGGTCTTACTATGTAGCCCTGGCTAGTGTGGAACTCATGACTGCCACCACATCCGACATATTTTGATGTTTTTTTTGTAGCACAGATTGGCCTCTAACTCATGATCCTCTACCTCTTACATACTAGGGTTACAGGAGCCACCATGCCCAGGTGTAGTGTTTTAATAGAGGAAACAAAGACTAAAATCCTTTTGTGTTTCCTCAGACTGTCAATAGTAGGACTTTTTATTATAGTAATATTCTCATATTTTTGTCTGAACAGAACAAAGTTAGTGTCTTAGTTTCTTTTCCTATTGCTCTGATAAAATACTTTGTCTTAAGGGACAGCGGTTTTGCTCTGACTCAGGTTCCCGAGGGCCACGGTCCATCATGGCAGAGAAGACAAGGCAGCAGGGAGGGAGCAGGAGCAGGAAGCTGGCTGGTCACACTGCATCCAGCTCTGGAAGCAGGTCATGAACAAGACATGGGGCTGGCTATAAAGCTTTTAGGCCCACCCTCAGTGACTTGCTTCCTCCAGTGAGGCGCCACTGCCCAAAGTTTCCACAATCTTTCTAGATAGGACCACCAGCTGGGGATCAGGTGTTCAAACACATGAATCTATGGGCCGCATTTCACATTCAAATCATAGCAGTTGGTAAGCTCCTAATTAGCCATGAGACTAACATAGGATGTTTAAAGCAGTGCTTTTCACACTTTTCCATCTCATTGGGTTTATCCATTTCTGGGGATTTTTGTTTAAATGCTTACTCTGATGTTGGCTGTCTGAGGTCAGGCCTGATATTCTGTATTTCTGACAGGCTCCCAAGTATGTGATGCCACTGATCTGTGGACCATACTTTGAATATATAGCTTTTAGATCTTTGCTAGTGACTACTGATTTGTCTCTCTTGAGCAAAGGAGATGAGGCAAGCTTTTCACCATAAGAACCATCCTGTATTTGCCTGAAACAAGCAGTTCCAAAGCCTCTCTAGAGAACCTGAGCAGAGTAATCGTAACTACTTCATCAACTTTAAATATACCACATTAGTCTTCCGAAGCTTGGAGACTAGAAGCAGCTCCTGGGTCTGATTTCAGCCTGGCCTTTTTCTTCATTTGTTGGCAGCTCCCTCACAGCAGCTGTGCTGCATGTGTAGCCACAGAGAGGTAAAGGACTGGGCAGGCCTGTGACTAAGGTGATGTTTCCTTCAGTCAAGCCTATAAACATTTGAACATGTTTATACCCAGCTTTGCAACACTAAGGATTTAGTAGTGACTTTACCTGCGTGAACTGCTAAGAAATGCTTACTGATTTAAGATGGAAGTAGTAAAATATCCCTGGGCCTGATGTGGGTTCTGGGAACAAAACTCAGGCCCTCTGCAAGAGTAGTATATCCTCTTAACTGCTGAGCCATCTCTCCACCCCCTCTGCCCTAGACTTGAAAAATAAAGATAAATTTTGACAGTCAAACAAAACAAAGACTCTTTAGTCTCTCTTACCTGAGAGAACAGATCAAAATCCTCCATAGCTGACTCTTGAATCCATTTCATTGAAAGTAAAATGTGTTCCCATATAATTGTGTAATTTTAATTAGGAATTAGTATATTTATCACTTTTTTGTTTGGTTGGTTGCTTTTTGTTTTTGAGACAGGGTCTCCCTGTTGCCCTAGCTGGCCTGGAACTTTACCAGGCTGATCTTGATCTCAGCAATCTGCCTGCCTCTGTCTCCCAAGTGTGGCGATTAAAGGTGTGCACCACCGCACCCAGCTCTATTTATTACTTTTTAAAGTTGTTTTTTTAATGGTGCTGGGGATCACATCCAGGAACTTTGCACATGATAGGCAACTACTCTACCACTGAACTTTATCTCCAGCCCCAGAATATTCTTTTCTTTGGGCAATTGGAGGGATTGGGTCTAACTATGTTGCTCTGGTCATTCTTACTCCTAGGTTCAAGTGATCCTCCTGCTTCAGCTTCTCAAGTAGCTAAGACTTCTCCCTGTAGCCTCAGCTGGCCTGGAACTCCCTGTGTAGACCAGGCTGGCCTCGAACTCACAGAGATCCACCTGCCTCTGCCTTCTAAGTGCTGGAATTAAAGGCATGCACAACCACACCCAGCTGAATTATTTCTTATTTTTTGAAGCATAGTTTTGCTATATAGCCTAGGCTGGCCTGAAACTCAAGATCCTTCTGCCTTATCTTCCCAAGTAGCTGTCATCACTTGTGATGCCATGCCCTCTACTTACTTCAGAATAATAGTTTGGAAGCTGGTAGAATAGGTCAAAAATAAAGGACTTGCCTGACAGGTCTTACCCCCTGGATTATAAGAAATAATCATTTAGGGGCTAGAGCATTAGCTCAGTGGTTAAGAACAGTAGCTGCTCTAGCAGAGGACCCAGGTTCAGTTCTCACCACCCACATGGCAACTAACAACCGTCCGTAACTCCAGTTCCAGGGGATCTGACGCCCTCCTCTGACCTCTCTGGGCATTGCACACATGTGGTGTACTTACGTTCAGGCAATACATTCATACACATAAAATAAAAATAAATAAATAAATAAATAAAATTTTATTTAAAAAAAGAAATAGCCAGGTGTGGTAGCACACACCTTTAATCCCAGCACTTGGGAGGTGGAGGCAGGCAGAGCTCTGAGTTCAAGGCCAGCCTGGTCTATGTATAGTGAATTCCAGGACAGCTGGAGCTACAGGGAAACCCTGTCTCAAAAAGACCAGAAAAAGAGAAATAATTTAGCACCTTAGTCCCTGCTGTGTTATCTATGCTAATAGAGGATTTATATACAGAAAAGCTCCATTTATATATGCCTCTAGAATAGCTTTAGGATTTTCAGCAGCTTTACAGCATTATAACAGTCTATCTGGCTCTCCTTGATGATGACCAAGCTGCCATTCCGTAAGCATAGACCTGTGTCATGAGATGAGGCAGTTAGCACTGAGTGGACAGCAAAGAAAAACTGGTCAGTGTTACACAGTTACAACAGAACCCTAAAGTGACTATATTTGAAAGAGAAAGGGAGGAAAAGTTCACAAGGTCACTCAGCCCTTCTGAAAGATTTTGCATCTGTCTGTCCACCCAGATGAATTTTAAAGACCTCTTTACTGCCATTTACCAAATAGTAACAACAATAATAGTGATAGTAATATAATTACCACTGAGATTTGCTGGCTGCTTCTGTCAGGCACTGTTGTGAGCACTTTTAATTTATTATTATTATAGACAATGTCTGACTGGGTGACCAAACTACCCTTGAGCCTCCTGCCTCTGCCTTTTGAGTGCTGAGAATTACAGGTGTGCGCCATCACTGCTGACTAGTAGTAATTTTTCAGTTTGTTTCTTTTCTAGCCTGGTTGTGACATAAAGTAATAGTTAATGTTTTCTCATAGGCCTTAGGGTCGATGATAATGCTCAGGAGGGTCACTCATAGGCATGTGATATGCCAGGAGATCTGGGGTCCTTTTGTGCTCAATATGAATCTCTTGTACTCGAGTGTATGTCATGAACCTCAGTGTTTTTATTTTTGACTTGAATAGTTTCACAATAGTACATAGTAAAAGCAATAAATGAACACGCTCAAAAAATTTTAATTCTGTAATTTCAACCTTGAGTCATCAGAAGCAAGAGCAGATCTCCAACTTATACCCAGGAGAAGATGGTCAGATCATTGATGCGCGGGGAGTGTCATACAAGGAGGTCCTTTCACCCCTGCACTACTGAAGCCCAAGAACTGCTCTAATGTACATAGGCCTCCCAGTTTAATGAGCTTTAACATGTCTGTTCTTCTGATGAGGTCCTTTAAGAACTTTCTAAAAAACATTTATTGGGTGGAATCATCCATGTGGAGGTCAATGCATAACCTGAAGGAGTTCTCTGTTTCTACCATTTGGGTTCTAGGGGTTGAACTCAGGTTGTTAGGCTTGGCAGCAAGCACATTACCTGCTGAGCCATCTCACAGCCCTGTAGCATACTTTTGGAGTGCAGTGGTACATGCCTGTGATCCCAGTTCTCAGGATGTAGAGTTGGGAGTTCGAGAACATACGCACACACACACACAAACACACCCACACACATATTTTAATATTATTTTTGTTTTATGTGTATGAGTGTATTGCCTCTGTGTGTATATAAGTGCATCCATGTCATGCAGTGCCCATGAAGGTCAGAAGAGGGTGTCAGATCCCCTGGAACTGGAGTCACAGATATTTGTTAGCCACCATGTGGGTGTTGGGAGTCAAACCCAGGTCCTCTGCAAGAGTAGTTAGTGCTCTTAACTACTGAACCATCTCTCCAGCCACTCAAGAACATATTTTTGAAGTTGGGGATCTAGTAGTTAAGAGCTAGGCCAGGTCAAGTGAATATCATTTTGATAATAACAGCCAGTTTTTACTCATCTCTTTAGGCTAGGCCCTCTGAATACATTGCCTTAAGATATGGGAGCCTGAGACTCAGTGTTAAAACTGTAAGTGGCAGGGTCAGGAGTCCAGATGGGTTTCTGATTTCAAAGGAAAAAAGAGACTCACATACAGCACTAATGTCTCGAGCACTGTTAAAATTCATTGTACTTATTGGTAAATCCTTAAGATGCCCTATGAAGTAGAAGCTGTCAACTTCATTTTATAAATGGGGAAACTCAGACACAGAGATATGGAGTTAATTTACCAAAGCTCAGAGAGCCAGTAAGTTACATAATTGAGATTTGAATTCAAGCCTTTGTGCCACTAATGCTGGACTCCTCTAGAGCCTGATCTTCCATTTACCTGCCCAAGCTGTCCCAGGAATACTCTTTGTGACCTAGGGATTGACCCTAGGGCCTCACACATGGAACACAAGTTCTCAGCAACTGAGCCATGTCCCAACCCTGTGAAGTCCTCTTACTGCCTGGAGAGTTCAGTATTTTGAGGAAAGCCTCACTGACCACCTGTTGCAGCATCTCTCGTGACCTGACCATTCTTCTTCCTGTGAGTGACTTTAATATAAGCTACTCTTGAGTGCCCAGCTCACTTCCTACACTACAAGAGGCCATTAGGTTTTGGTGAAGGCACTCTGAATGTAACAGTTCCCATTCATTGTGAGTCCAGAGAACTTTCTGCTTGGCTGATACTCAAGAGTTGTAAAACACGCCTTTCCTATACTGTCCTGTGTTCCAGAGGTTATTGCTTTTACTTTATGCATTTTAATTAAATATTACCCTTTCGTATTTCTGTTATGAAGAAATTTTATCATGAGGTATAATTTTACAAATCAAAGTAGAATAATTATTAAATAGATGCTGGCTCTTTGTAATTGGCCCTTAAAACTGATGGTTTTCCATGTCACCTGTGGTCTCACAGGCCTGGGGAGCTGCCAGAAGGGTCTCCAAAGATGACTGGCTGGAATGGCTGAGACGGTTGAGCTTGGAGCTGCTGAAGGACTCCTCGTCACCTTCCCTGCGCTCATGCTGGGCCCTGGCACAGGCCTACAACCCTATGGCCAGGTATAGTGTGCCAGGGCTCTCTTCTGCCTGGCTTCCTTTCCTTATTTTTCAGGTTTTTCTGCAGTAGACATTTATTGTTTATAGTAAGGCATAAAATGGTAGCTTAGTTAACAGGCAACCTTTCTCATCAGCAAGCAGCAGAAGCAAGGCGTTCTATTTCAGTTTTATTTCTAGCAATATAACTGGTTTGCTGTGTGTTTAGCAGTAGTGATGGTCCCCTAGACGATGGCTTCAGTCCATGAATGTTTTAAAAGCAGTAGCTAGAAATTCCCTGTGTCCGCAGTGTGTAGATTACACATCCAGCTGCTGTGTTGTACCACTCTTCTACCCAGGTCACCTCTGAGCACAGTGTCATCCCAGGGAGGCCTGTGGTGACTCCACACTTGGGTGTTTGTTAACTTAGTCCCAAATACACACATTGGGAATCCCATGTTGCCTCTAAACTAGTTCAGGAGCGCTTACTTCCTCATTTACTCAGGGCTTCTTCTAGGCTTCAGGTTATCCTTTGAATTTAATTGGTTTTTGTTGTTGTTGTTGTTTTGTTTGTTTGTTTCTTTGTTTTTGATCTTTTTGAGACTGGGTCTTTCTGTAGCTCCAGCTGGCCTGGAACTTACTATGTAGATGAAGCTGGCCTTGAATTCACAGAGATCCACCTGCCTCTGCCTCCCAAGTGCTGGGATTTGAATTTAATTTTTTTTTTAATTTATTTATTTTTATTTTATGTGTATGCATATTACCTGCCTGTAGGTAAGTGTACCCAAGGCCAGAAAAGGGTATCAAATCCCCTGGAACTGAAGTTAAAGATGGTTGTTAGCCTCCATGTGGGTACTAGAAACTGAACCCAGGTCCTCTCCAAGAGTAGCCAGTACTCTTAACCACTGATCCATCTCTCCAATCCCTGTGAATTCAAATTTTGTTGTTTTTAAAAAATATTTATTTTTTTATTTTATGTATGTGTTTTGCATATATGTAGTACACCATGTGCATTGCAATGCCCACATATGCCAGAAGAGAGGTCAGATCCCCTGGAAATGGAGTTATGGACAATTATTAGCCACCATGTGGGTACTGAAAATTGAACCTGAATCCTCTGGAAGAACAGCAAGTGTTCTTAACGATTGAGCCATCTCTCCAGCCACCCCCACTCCACCCCACCCTGTTTTTTAATCATAGTCCAAAATTATCTGGGCTTGGTGGTACATGCCTTTAATGGTGCACACCTTTAACCCCAGCGCTTGGGAGGCAGAGGCAGTCAGTTCTCAGTGAGTTCGAGGCCAGTCTGGTCTACATAGCAAGTTCCAGGCCAGCTATGGCTACAGGGAGACCCCGGTCTCAAAAAGCAAAGCAAAAAAAAATTTTTTTTTTGGTCTTTTTGAGATGGGGTCTCCCTGTAGCCCCAGCTGTCCTGGAACTCACTATGTAGACCACGCTGGCCTTGAACTCACAGAGATCCGCCTGCCTCTGCCTCCCAAGTGCTGGGATTAAAAGCGTGCGCCACCACGCTTGACTCAACAACACAAAATTTTTTTAAAATCCATAACAATGGTTTAACTTAGCCTTTAGACATAATAGAAAGTAAATAAAGAAACAGCAAATTCTAAGTCCATCCAGTGCAGGAATGCAATACAGTTTCTGACACCTCTCCCTCCACAGTACCTAATGATGTGGAGGACAGAATTGAGGTTAGATTTCAGGGTGAAATATATTCATCCGTGTGATACTGCAGTGACTTTAAGTTGGTGTCATAATCCTGGAAACGACACCTCTTGTTCCAGGAGTTTGTAAGACCCCAACTGTTAGGGATTTTCTGAGTCTTTTATGACTTGGGGATGTACATTCTCTTTGCTAGTGCTTCTAGTTTTTAAAATTCTGTTGTTATGCCAGGCATGGTGGTACACACCTTTAATCCCAGCACTCGGAAGGCAGAGGTAGGTGGATCTCTGTGAGTTCAAGGCCAGCGTGGTCTACATAGTGAGTTCCAGGACAGCTGGGGCTACTGGGAGACCCTGTCTCAAAAAGACCAAAAAAAAAAAAAAAAATTCAGTTGTGACCTGGAATTACAGGAAAAAAAAAAAAAAAAAAAAAAAGACCTGTTCAAAAAACCAAAAAAAAAAAAAAAAAATTCAGTTGTTATTTTTTTTTAATACCATCCAAGTGTTCTGATTATACTTGAAAAGGTGTAGTGGATGCTGCCTTTGCCATTTTTTATCTTAATAATTTGTACACTGTCCAAGAAGCATCCCAAAAGTCATTTAAGAACTTGTTATTTCCTGAATCTGTTCACTTCAGCTTCTGCGTTAAGAGGTTCCCTTTCTGTTCATCCAGTGAAGAGAATGAAGCAGAAATTTCCAAGAAGCATACCTGTGAAGAAAAGCTGTTCTCCTCCCCATCCCCCCACCCCTATACCCCTATATGTTGTAGTGCCCTGTGAGATACAGTGTCATTGCTGGGATAGTGGCACATGCCTAGACTTTCAGCACTGGGTGGGGGTGCTTGCTGTAAGTTGTTTGGGCTACATAGTGAATGAGTTCAAGGCCAACCTCGGCTGCAGTGTGAGACCCTGGCTCAAACAAACAAACAGAAAGATATAGAAGTCACTAGCTATGTGTGGTTCTTTTAATTTAATTAAAAATAAATAAAATTTAAAGTCCACTTCTTCAGTTATATTTGCCACAGATCAAGTACTTAGTGACCAAAAGATTCATCTTCTTTAGGGAAGGTTTAATTTCCAGCAAGTTCTATCAGGCAGCATTGTTCTGTATAACTGAAGTCTACAATTCCAGGAGCAGTTTGATAGTGCTCAGGGCACTGGTTCCCAGCATCCTTCTCCACTCCCTGTGCCTCCAGGGATCTCTTCAACGCTGCATTTGTGTCCTGCTGGTCTGAGCTAAATGAAGACCAGCAGGATGAGCTCATCAGAAGCATCGAGTTGGCCCTCACCTCCCAAGACATCGCTGAAGTCACACAAACCCTCTTAAACTTGGCTGAATTCATGGAACACAGTGACAAGGTGAGACTTTTCTCCTTACCCAGATGGATGATGACAGGGAACCAGCTGGTGGGGGGTAGGCAGAGAGGGTTGTCCATGCAGCCCTTTCTTGTTTGTACCCCATCTGCCACTTTCCTATCCTTTCGTCTAGGGCCCCCTGCCTCTGAGAGATGACAATGGCATTGTTCTGCTTGGTGAGAGAGCTGCCAAGTGCCGAGCATATGCCAAAGCACTACACTACAAAGAGCTGGAGTTCCAGAAAGGTCCCACACCTGCCATACTCGAGTCCCTCATCAGGTAAGCTGGGAACACTGCTGCTTCATCACAAATGACCTCTCCCAGTGCCTGGTGCCATTGACTGGAGTCACTTGGAGACTTCAGCTGTGTGAAATCTGCTACCAGGTCTCACCAGCACATGTAAATGCTGCATGGTTGTAGATGGCTGTTCTTAGTCGTCAAGCCAGGATTGTCATATCTGTAAACCTTTACCACCAGGGCTCCCGTTGTTTTCCAATCTGTGCTGTCTTGTCCCAGTGAAATCAGTCAGAAGCAGTTCTGTGCCACAACAACCTAGGGAAGACAGATTGATGTGTAGGTTAGATAGTGCTCCCTGAGCAGGATTAGGAGTCACTGGACTTCACAGGCCCAGAGACAGGGGGAAGCATAGTTACTAAGTCTCTTAGTGCCTGGTCTTCTTCCTTTGAAGGTTAATGAATATGAAGAGCAAAGTCTGAGAGCCAATGATCTTTTCCCTGATTTAGCTAGATTCTCTACTCTCCTAAGATGGCTTTGAGTCTTCTGGGTATGGAAAAAGTGGTTGTTTAATAACTTCTGTGCTGTTAAAAATTGCAAACATCCAGAAACACTAGCTTCCACTCCTAGAGAACCCCTAATAATTATCAAAAAGAGTAGTAGCTCCAGATCTAATTATCTTCATGGAAATGCTAGTGTGGTTGACCATTTAACTGCACATAGATCAGGACAGATCAGCAGCTAATAAGTTCCTGGGCTGGCTGATAGACCCTGCTGAGCATGGGGCTTCCTACCTCTGAGTACAGCAGCTGGGTTCTCTGCCAGCTCTGCCTTTAGTGGGTGCTGAAAAGCCTGATCCAAAGGTAGAAGTGGGATTGTACTGCTGCGCAGATACATAGACTTAAGAGAAGTTTGATATCTGAAGTACCACATAGGGGTAGTTATAAATGTGACGTCCAGGGAGGACGCTTCAGCACAGTGACCATGAAGACTTGCGTTTTTCCCTCCCGTCTCTGCTGCAGTTTACAACCTCACATGATAGCTAATAGAGCAACTCCCTGGGCTGTCCTGGTAGTTAACTACCTGGGTGTGTGCACTTCAACTTCAGATAGCAGGTTCTGCCCACCCCATCCTTACTGACTATTGAGACCTTTTGAAGCCCCACATCCCACCCTTGGCCTGTCCTCGTATTTAAGACAATCTAAAGGCGTTGAAGCTAATGCAACTTTTAGTAGAAAGATGCAGTAAGATGACTCGAAGCCTGCGCCTCAGCTTTTAAGCCAATGCCGTTGAAAATGAGTCCTCAAAATTCCCTGCAAATAATTTTGTTTTGTTGATTTAATTCCATTCTGAGGGGAGGCCAGGCTCAGGCCAGTTCAGCTGGCTGAGCTCAGCACCTTCCGCCCACTCCTTTGCTTCCTGTGTCTCCCAATTCTTTCTCCTCTGTTTCTATTTGTAGCTTTCACTTCTGATGCTGTAAAAATGCTTTTCCTGAGCCTTGTGCTGTGGTGCCATCTTACTAGGGAATGTTTTTCCTAAGCATCCTTGGGCTGTGGTACTGTCTTTACTTTAGAAAGTTGGGCGTTTTTTGCTTTGGGGGTTCTTGGTTTGGATGGTTTTTATTTTGATTTTTTTTGAGACAAGGTCTTTCTATGTAGCTAGCGCAGGCTGTCCTCATAATTGCTGTCCTCCTGCCTCAGTCATCTAAGTGCTGGGATTGCAGACATGTGCCACCACACTGGCTTACTGGGAAGGTTTTGAGGAACATCCTTGGGCAAAACTGCTCCTGGGGAAGCTGTCCACGGATTTTTCTCAGTCTTCTGGGTGACCCACCTGGAGACTTTCCCGGGGTTCCAGCACTGGGAGTTCTGTGCCCACCACTTGTGTCTGATCTTGAAGATGTGGCTCTTAACATAAATTGGATTCCTTTCTTTGCAATGGCTACTGGGATGCCCACAGCTAAACTCCTGCCCCAACAAATTATAGGCCCCCTATCTGTTGGACTGAGTGCCCTCTTCCCTGCCACATTGGCTTATTCTTCCTATTGTATTCCTCCTTGCTGATTTATTCTCAGACTTTATTGCAATACATATGTTTAAATTAATTTAACTTCAAGAATTTCTTTTTGAAATAGTCAGATAACTCTACACAAAAACATCGTGGTATAGCTGTTTACTTTTTGTTTTTGATTTAAAAAAAAAAACAAAACTGCACTTTAAGCCAGATGTGGTGGTGCACACCGGCAACCTCAGCACTCAGGAGGGAGAGGCAGGAGGATCTTTTGCTACTAGTTCATGTCTGTTTTCCTACCTGTTGACTTTGTACCTGTCCACTCCAAGACAAATCCCACATGTAATCTCCAAGCCAGACTAATACTGAGACAATATAAGCTGCTCAAAGCTCACATAGATGAGGAAGTATATATCACTTCTTAGGGGAACAGTGGATAAAAGGGGTACTGAATATTTAGGAAGCACATCCATAATAGCTATGGGGCTCTTATTGGTTAGCCAGCACATGAGGGTAGGGTCTGTTGGCTTGCCTTTCTCACTCAGTGGAATAGAGGGTCTCATCAAAGCATGAAGGCTTTCTCTGCCCCACTCCTGACACGTTATCTCCTTTTGAATATTTCTGATCAATACATCTCCAAAATTAAAAGCAAAGACTGTCAATAGTCAGGTGGACCTTGCAGTCAGGCTAACCCTTTGCCACTTCTGCCAGCACTGTGCTTTTGTGCAGCTCCTGTTCTCTCCCTAGAGGCCTGGTCTGAACAAAATGTTCTTTGTCTTCAGGAGCAACACCCAGCTCTGCTTTGATTCCTGGCAGCTCTGTCCTCCTTCAGGTCAGAGGCTGTGCTGGGTGCCATCCTTGGTGTCCACCCATTAGCCTGCACCAGAGCAGGTGCTTGGGAAATGCAGGTGCTGTAGGAGCCACAGTGCTGTGGGGTGGGCTGCGGATGCTCTGTCCATGCTCTACCAACTACTGTCTCTCTCCCCCGTCCCCTCTCTGAAAAGTTTCTCTCTATAAAGTATGGAAACCACAGAGGTGGTTTAAATTAAAGCCTCAGGAATTTCCTGGCTGTGATGTCCATCTTAAACAAGGGGGAGTCATCAGCTCTTCTGCTGCTCCCTCCTCTTCTCCTCACTCCTGGGAAGGCCCTGTTCTGTCCGCCCCTCCCAGCAGTACAGTGTAGGGTGTAGGGTGGCTCCTCCCTGTCTGCCTCAGAAAGGGGCTGTGCCCTAGGAATCCCTGCTTCACCATCCTTCTCTTCTCACTGTTTCTCTGAAAAATCCCCAGGTTCCTGTTTGTAAGGTGAAGTAGAACTGTAGGCACAATAAAAATATTGAGTGAGAATAATGGCTTCCCATACTGACTCCCTCCAGGGGATGGCACTTTTTATAAAGGGTAAAATTACTTGATACCCCTTGTGGTTAAAGATAATCTTCTGTATTTTTAGACAGAAAGTAGGTATTTCTTTGTAAAGCATTTCAAAGCCCAGCTGGGGTGAGCTAGTCATGGCCAGCACCTGCTCCTGGTCTGATGGCTTATGCCCTTTCCCCTGGCCTTTTCTCTTTCAGCTTCTTGTCCCATCCTTGGTTTTCTTGGATCCTGAACAGACTCAGGAGTTACTGTTCACACTCTTTCAACTGAAGTTTTTACCATGCTCTGAGTGGTAAAAAGAATAATTTAGAAAGAACACACTCAAGTTTTTATAGTATTTATTGTAGGAAGAAACAATATTTTGAATGTTTAAAACATGAACTACAGTCTTTTATTTTTACAAAGCAAGATGTTATGGAAAGCATGAGTTTTCACCCATAGCACCATCTACCTTCACTTTCCAGCCATTTTTCTTATAGACAAGGTTTTTAAAAGGAGTTCGAGTCCATTTCTTACTGAATGAGTAAGAATAGGATGTGTGTTGACTAGGCAGTGTTGTAGTCACTGAGAGACTGTGCCCACTCCTGCTGGTGTTCCCTCCCACTTCAGACCCACAGCATGCCATTCAGTGCTGTTCCCTGACCCAGGTGGGCAGGGGAGGGGAGGTTCCAGGATTCTGACTGAGGCCCAAGGCCCTGGAGCCTTGTCTAAAATATGGCAGACCTTAGGCAGCTAGTCTTCAGCCCTCAAATGTTTGTGTTTTTAAATATCCTGTAAACTGAAGGTGACGTCATTGGATTTAAAAATAGAAAGTCCCCTTCTCCACCATCTGCTTTCGTTCCTTTGTAATACCCAAAGCCTGTCCTTTGAGAAGCAGAGTAACACAATTCTCTTTAGCAAGATTTGCTCTTTTCCATCTTGTCACCTAAGCCTTGGAAAAAGTAGATAAAGTGACCTTACAATTCCTGCTTTCTATAGATAAATCTTATAGAAAAGATGAGTTGCTGCTCTGTTGGTGACCTAGGCAGAGAGCACCCACTCTGTCCCAGCACTGAGGAGTCTATGGCAGGCCCACACATTGAACTGCTTCTCATTTCCTCTTACATCTTTGATACATATAGTTTATTGTGTGCATGTGCTCACTTTGGTGGCACAAATATTAGAGTTCTGTAGTGGTCCACAGAGAGAGTGGCTCTTTCATTGGAGATGACAAACCATTCCCTTCCAGCCCTTTCTCCACCTTCTTCCCTTCTGCCTGCTCTCTCCAGCCTCCACATGTCGCTTCTACAGTCCAGCCCTATAGCAGCCTTCTTTCAGGGTTTGAAGGCTTCTGGGCGGATCTTCATCTCCACCCGCTTGAGGGAGTAGCTGGCTCCATGCCAGCCATACCAAGTGATGCCATCCATGTGCTTTCTGTGTTCCCCCAGACGGTAGTACACCCCATTGAGGTTGGAATCTGTGCAACAGTTGTACCAATATCCACCTGGCATGAGAAACAGATCAGGTTGGTAGACTCGGGGTGCCCTCCCTCAAGACAGACTCTTACTGACAGGCAAGGCGTTAGACCTGGTAGCAGAGAGAACACTATAGCTGCCAGCTGTGGTGTCCATCCTCCTTCCCCTTCCTCCCAGACCTCACCTTTGCGGAGCTGTGCGCATTTGTCCAGGCAGTTGTCATTGTCTTTGTCCTTGGTGCTGAAGACCGTGTTGTTATGATAGAGGAGCGCATCCTTCCCCACATTGCCACTGTAGTTCCCCAAGGAGAGGCGGTAGCTGTTCAGTTCGTTGCTCAAGGCAAAGTGGCTGTACTCTGCATAGCGTGTGTTGCCCTCCCAGTCCTAGCAGGGAGGAGCAGAGCCTTAGAGAAACTGTAGAGAGCATCATTTCATACAAACCCTGTCTCTCCCTCTCTTTTGCCAGCCCCACAGTCACACCTTTTTAGAGGTGTGAAGCTGGTAAGACTATTACTTATTACCTCTAGTTTTCTGTATTAGCTGGGAATCAACAAACTGGGGTCTAAGGCCAAACCTCTCTGGATTCAGCGTATGGCCTTTGTTGTTCCTTTTGTATCACCTCACTTCCCTGGGCTAAATCCCACTCAGATATGTTGAAAAAGTAACATGGGGACATTATGTTTTAAAGCCTTCTAGAGATCACTAACCAATATCAATGAGGTTTACCCTTAGAAAGAGCTCCTGCGCAGAGGTGAGGTTTGTTTCAGTCCAGCTAATACGGGTTTTCCCTGTTCTGGCCTGTGTCTGCCCTGACCTGGGCCAGCTATAACCCAAAACAAAAAATTTCTTCCTCAGTTGTATTGTACGGTAATCTGCAGGAAACCTGTCCCAGTGAATAAACAAATCTATAGTGAATAGATAGGAATGGCACCTCCAGAGCCAGGCACAGTCGTGTGTTTTTGATCCATGCCAGTCCCGGGCCTGGGAACTCAAGCTTACCTCCAACTCTACACGAAGCCGTGTTGGCTGCCTGGTAAGCCGGTGGATGTGTTCATTCCCCAGCCAGAAGTCCCCTCGGATGCTGCCAAAGCCCTGCTTATACTGTTTCCAGTCTTGGTAGAAGGAAACAAGGCCACTCTTACGTCTCTGAATGATGGTCCAGCCTCCGCCTGAAGTTTCCATGTCACAAAACACCTAAAGCAGAGAGAGTGATCTGGGCAGGGCCAGGGGTTTGAGGCGGGTCTTCCCAGCCTGTGGTGTTTGTGAGTCATTGGTGTTTGTGTTTCCACACTCACTGCAGCAGCAGTATTGCCCCCAGGGTGGAGGGGCTGGGCCGGGGTGGTTGTTGGCTTGGAAAAAAAGGCCACATTGGTGATGGGGGTCAGTGTGAATATGGCTTACATGAAAAAACCAGATATTTCCAGTATGATTTCCTCTCCCAAAGAGCAACTGCTCTAGGAATTACAGGAAATGAAACACGTTCTGTGGTGATTATAAGCGTTAGAAGAAGCTGGGAGTTGGTGGCACACGTTTTTAGTTCCAGCACTTGGGAGGCAGAGGCAGGGAGAGCTCTGTGAGATTAAGGCTAGTCTATACAGAGTTCTAGGCCACCTAGGGCTACAAGGAGACCCTGTCTCAAAAGAAGGATTAGAAGATTTGGTATTTGGCTGATAATGTATGAAGATGCATGGACTTTGTGGGAGGATCCCACAAATTAAGTGTTCTCATAGCTCTCTTGTATGGTGGGCTTGCTTCTCTGAGTTTCCATTTCTGTATACCAGCCAAGCCCTGTCTTCATGCCTTTGAGGGTGGAAGACAAAGGTGAGAACATGGGCAGTGAACAGTCGTGGCCTCACCTCCAGCTCAGGGCTGCCCAGGAACTCGTCAGGAGGAAGCTTGTATACTCCAGAGATGCGATAGTTCTTCTGGTAGAGGGATGAGCAGTCATAGATGGCATCTGTGAGAGGGGCACACACACAGTGAGCGGAGACCTGTGCCCCGAAGTGGGAGGGCATGCCTGCTGCAGCCAAACTGGATGATTAAAACCCAAGACCGTTTCTACCACAGGATGTCCATGACTCTCCAGGGTAAGCATCTCAGGGAGGTTTGGTTTGTTGTTTCTTGCTGTTTGTTTATTGCTCCTCAGATAATGGCTACTACCAACTTGTACCCTAATTATGGGAGACAGATTTGCAGTCTTTGCCCCTTCCCCAGACTATGTCACTCAGTGCCCAAATGAAAATCAGAACTGAGGAACCCTTGAGTCCTTCCCCTGAAAGTTTTGTTAAAACAAGGAAATAAGACTTCCATTTCCCCATCTGAGCTTGATTTAAATGCTTCCTTTGCTACCTTTGAGGCTACTGTTCTGTGCTGGGTTTTATCTCCATGTTCTGAATAACAAAGTGGGTTTTCAAAGAAGCAGCTTCTAGTGAAGCTGGAGTGGGTTCTTATTGTCCAGGAGATATTGTCTGCCCTCTGTCTTGGGACTTTTTCCTTGGTGACCACTGGGCCAGAGTCTTGGAGAAAAACACTTGTCTCAGGGCAAGTAGCCCAGAGTGCCTGTTTCCTCATAGAGCATGCTGAGGAAAGGGAAATGGGGTCTACCTGCACTTGCGCCCCCCCCCGAGAAGATTCCCTGCTGAGGGGTAAGGAAGTGCTCTCTTTGTAGGAGCAGGAAGTGGTATGGTCAGATCTGCATCTGGCCTGGCCTTCTCCATGTCCAGTTTCATCTCCCAGAACAAATCAGGACTCACTTGTCTAGTAAATGATGAAAATCATCATTTACTGTTCCCAAACTAAGGAGGGCAGGGGAAGGGGGCGATTCATATATTTATTTAATTAAGTAAGAGAATTGTCAGACTTATCTTTATGGAGAACCTTTTCATTTGAACCAAAGATAGCCAGCGACTTACTCTTTGGAGGCTACTTGTGTCTTCCCTTTGACTTTGTGTATAATGCAGCCAACAGTTTTTACATCAGAAAGGAATGCTGCATCTATAGTATATACTCTTTCCAAATGTTTCCCAATAATATCAGAAAACCAGATTTACCTCTGAGCAGTAAATTTGTTTATCGACCCATCTGTGCCAGTCTAACCAACCACTGGAAGTTGTTTTCTTATTTTCTATATTATTTGGGAGAATTTTATTAGAAACCATGGAAGAATATAGAAGCATCAGATCTAAGGAATACCAAGGAGCCTGTCCTCTCTCGAGCACAAAAGGCTTCTTCCAATGGCTGTGGGCACTTGCTCTTGTGAGATGGGCTGGTGACATTTATGCCCATTTACACTGAATTCTAGAGACACAGAAGATGGTTTGGTGTGAAACTGTCCAGAGGAACAGATTTTGTAGTCTGGGGTTTGTTCCTGCTTCCTTGGGGTTGGGGGTACAGTCTGTCGACTCTTGGTAAGGGAAGGGCATGGCCATACCAACCCTGTGTGAATTTGGACTGACCATGTCAAGCTTCAAGGGGGAATTCATACTCTTAATTTGCTGAAATTTTATGTAGTTAAGAAAGAGTGTAGGGTATGCCTATAATCCCAGTGCCTGGGAATCCTAAGGCAGGAGGATCAACAGTTAAGGGCATCCTGGGCTGGGAGGGAGGGAGGGAGGACCTATAGGTGCTGGCTGAACTTTGAAAATATTGCAAATCCAAAAAAATACTCCGTGGGCCCTTACTAAGGAGAAAGGATGCCCCTAAGAAAACCCCCAGTAGTTGTTCTGATGAGCGGGTTACCCAGCACGGGGACAGGGAGACCCTCAAGGAGGTATTGAGGCATGTGAAGACAACTTACCTGCCGAGGTCTGTGTGACAGTCCGCGCTGCCTGTAGTTGCATGATGTCAATCTGGTTGTTCATATCGGAGTACTTGCTCTCAGCATCTGTGAGCCGCAGCTCCATGCGCTTGCTGGTGCTCTCCAGCTCCATCACCTGCATGACCACGCTGACCCAGTCACTCTCCTGCTTCTTGGTCAGTTCACCAAGCAGACTGCTGAGGTTGGCGACCTGGGCTTTGAGCGCCTTCATCTCCTCACAGCAGATGGCTGCTTTGAGCTGTGCCGGTGTCTTGGGTTTAGGAGGCTTCTGTAGCCACACTGGGTGGCTGACAAAAGCCACAACAAAAATGCAGAGCCAGGTCTTCCTCAGCATCTTCCACAGGCCTGGGTAGAAAGGGTCTCCTTTGGGAGTCTGGATGTTCCTAGTGGAGGTCTGAGAAGCAGCAGCAAGCTTGCTCTTTCACTCTGGATGGCCTCACACTGTTTTCCTTCTTAGCCTTCCTCAAAGCTAGTCTCTGAGGTGGAATTTGGTGGGTATTTAATCGCTTTCCTTCCTGAGTCTGGATATTCCACCAAGGCAGCATCTTAAATATTGTTTGTGCTTACACTTCTACCCCACCATGCCCTGTGTGGGGCGGTAGCCCCTCCCACCACATCTGGGAGGGTCAGGTGCTTGTTGGGTGAAGTCAGTGTAAACTTAGGCCAGAGGAGAGGGAGGCAGGGCTAGTGTTCCTTCCCTTTGCCGGTACAGTCTCTGGGCTCAGACAAGAGAACTGTGAATTTGTTTCCAGTTTCGCCTATTAGATTAGCCTTGCCAGCTACTGGCTCAACTCTATCAGCAGATAGGCAGGGTAGAGGAGTTTCCAAATGCCTGTCTGAAAGTTATGTAACATGGAGTGAGGGTGAGGTAGACAAAGAGGAGTTGGGAATGAGACTGCTTAGCCAGGGAGGCCTGCTAAGGTAATCCATGCTATTTACACAAGGTTTTAGTATCTTTTGGCATCCTCATGGGTATACATTTAACCAGGCTGGATATTCCTTTCTCTAGTCATTGTTCTACAAAATCCTGTGAAACCTGAACCTGACAGTATCTCAGACTTGAAATTTCCAGCTTAGAAAAGTTCTAGAAATAGGATAGAATAAAAGACTCTGTAGTTTGTGTCTGTGGGATTGTCTTCCTTTTTATACACTCCCCTTCCAAAAGAGCTGCTCGTAGTTTACATTTTGCAAGGAGGTGTCAGAAGCTTAGAGCAGAGATGAAAACAGCTGTGGCAGGCACCCACACTTCTGTGAGTGTCTAGGCAGCAGAGAGCGGGCCTACCCTTTGTCCATGGTTCAAAATGTGGAATATGTAATTAAAGCAAGGAAAAAAGACTCCCCATCACCTAATAAAGCCAGATCAAGACTCTCAGTTCCCTCTTTCCATACAGTGTGGTTTGCAATTTGATGTTAGTCTCCTGTACCTTTATATGACTCTGTATTTGAGAAACAGAGTTAATAGCTTTTATATGCTTTATTTGAAGGATACTGCTCTTCTGAAATCTGTAGAAACATGGAATTTCCACAAGCATCCTTAAAATAAACTTCCCTCTGTCCTTAGCTCAGGAACTCTGCCTTTGGAACATGTGACTACTGCTTCCCTGTTACTGAGAGAGCCACTGAACCAGTTACTTGATTTGATACTCATCATGGGTCCCTCACACTCAAACCTGACTCATATGCAGCCCTTCTTCCCTGCTATAACACCCCTCCCAGCCTTTCCCCTACCCCCAGCCTTTTCTAGTCTGGGTTTCTAGCTCTTCAGAAAGTGTTCTCTGGGGCTAGAGAGATGACTTAGTGGTTAAGAGCCCTGGCTGCTCTTGCAGAGGACCCAGGTTCAGTTCCCAGCACCAACATGGCAGCTAACAGCCTTCCATAATTCCAGTGCCAGGGGATCCTACGCCTTCTTCTGACCTTTATGGGCATTTTAGAGTGTTTTCTATTCAGGCAGCTGGAGTTCCCAATCAGGTTTATGTTTCTAAATGGAAAAGCAGTTGGGGCTCAGATGGACCATAGTTTTATTTCCTCACATCTCCTGTCTCTTTTGTCTCCTTGAGGATCAGGAAGTTGCTGGCACTTTATGGCAGCTGGTTATCCTACCCAAAGATTCTGATCAAAGTTAGCACTATGCTGGTTCTTTCTCTCTTTCTCTCTCTCTCTCTCTCTCTCTCTCTCTCTCTCTTTTTCTCTCTCCTTTTTGAGACAGGGTCTCCCTGTTACCCCAGCTGGCCTGGAACTCACTATGTAGACCAGGCTGGCCTCAAACTCACAGAGATCCACCTGCCTCCAGGTGCTGGGATTAAAGGCATGTGCCACCACGCCTGGCTCCCACTCTATTTTTTGCAGATAAGAGGCTGAGCAGGGCACTGCAGCCTTCATTGACTACATGCAGTTTGTTAGTGGTTAGCATCTCATGCAAAGCCTGTTAAACTCTGTGGAACTCTTCAAGGTAATCACTTGACTGTCCAAAGGCTCTGTGCTTAAACCACGTGTCACAGCAGTGCCCTGCTCCATTCAGTCATACATAGATTGCATCTCAGATGATCCTGCTGCCCCAAAATTCCAGGGGAGCAATTCAGTAGAGAATGCATAAAGGAATGGCGGGATTCTGTGGATTCCCAGACAGCTTTTTGTGTATCCTTTACAATAGCATGTCACCAAAACAGGGATGATGTTAGGGCTCAGTTCCCATGTCCTAGCAAAAAAAAAAAAAAATGAATCGATCGTTTGTATTTGCAATCCCATTTAGCAATCCTTCATAGGAAAGATGGCAGAGGGTTCAGCACTTAGACCAGAAGCATCTAGCTTTTGGTCTGTGTGTCTGTCTCTAACATAGTTTTAGAAACTTATTTCTAGCATATGCATAACTTGTTTTTTTAAAACATTTTTAAAATGTTTTTATGTATTATTTTTATTTTATGTGTATGAGTGTATTGCCTGTGTGTATGTGAGTACACCCATGTCATGTAATGCCACAGAGGTCAGAAGAGGGCGTCAGATCATCAGTAAATTGCCTCATTTTGAGAAGCTAAACAAAGGTATTTCCCATTCCAGAATACCGTCTGATTTCCAAACAACCACAACCCTCTGATGTCATAGATTCTGACTCTCTAAAGAAAGAAAACTGTCAGTCCTTGTGTCTAGCACAGCTGACCCATAGAACCCCCTTGCTCAGGGAGGCTTCCCATCCCTCCTTCTGCCTGTCAATGAGCAGAGTAACCATAAACATGGGCACTAACTGGGCCAGCAAGACGGCTCAGTTGGTTAAAGTGCTTCCCACACAAGTCTGATGACCTGAGTTCTGTCCCAAACATATAGCAGAAGGCCTGCTGTGATTGCTTTCAGGACTTTGTGGCAAGCACCTTTTCTGGTAGCCAGCACTCAGGTTTCAGTGTAAAGCAGTCATGCTGGCACAGTTGTCTTATAGTCCAGCTACAAAGATAGCAGATTCCAAGACAGGGTGATATGCCTGGATGGAAGCACAGAGGAGGAACGTCCAACCCAGATGACACCTTGTTGTACCTCATCCACTGGACCCCAAGAAGACCACCGAGGACCCAACACACCAAAATGCAAAAGCAAAGGTTTATGGTTTATTTGGGTTTAAGCTGGGGCTCTCAGACCTCACCAACGCAACGGATCCATGCTGAGAGCCCAGAGTAAGGGAGGGTGGAGCCTTTTATAGGTTTTAGACAAAGAGAGGAGGGGGATACCGAAGTTACATTTTGGTTGGCTCAAGGAGCCCGCGCGTGCGCCAACATAATTTTAAACTGATTGGATATGTAGGATGCAGCCTTGGAGGTTCCTTATTGGTGGGTGCTACTCTCAGGGCTGTGGAATGTGCTGACTGTTATCTGTGGGGCCAGGAGTCTCTGTTTTTACCTTATAGGGCAGTTTCATGCCCGGGCTTGCTTAGTCTATAGTTTCCTGGAGTTGGGGGTAGTAGGTGGGGGGATGCCAGGGCATGTCTAGGCATGCCTAAAAAGTAACCAAGCATTTTACAGAAGCTAAAAGAGCAATTAGTTGGGGTCTGGAGGGATTGGGGGTTAGCGGGTGAATGAAGAGGGTCTCAGGGTCCCACAACCTTAGAGGGCTTCTTAGGGAAGTGTACCCAGAAAAACTGCCCAAAGGAAAAGTGGCAGGAAAGGGAGGGCATTCTGTGTGAAAGGCTGACTGAGGGGAAAAGTAACCAAGCATTTTACAGAAGCTAAAAGAGCAATTAGTTGGGGTCTGGAGGGATTGGGGGTTAGCGGGTGAATGAAGAGGGTCTCAGGGTCCCACAACCTTAGAGGGCTTCTTAGGGAAGTGTACCCAGAAAAACTGCCCAAAGGAAAAGTGGCAGGAAAGGGAGGGCATTCTGTGTGAAAGGCTGACTGAGGGGAAGAAGATGGCTGGCAAGTGTGGCCCGAGAGTGAAGGAGAGAGGGGTTCAGCGGGTGTTGCAGCAGAATGGAGGGCAGCAGGCCCCAGGGAGCCCGCACATCCAAGGAGCATGGCCATGCAGTTGTAGACAGAGGGGCTGCAGGAGGAATACTTGTTGCAGGAGGTCTCTTGTTGCTTTCTTTTGCATGTCTCACCAGGAAGAATAGCCTTAGTGGTTGCCAAACGAGACGTTTTAACGGAAATCATGACTTAGGACATTGAACTTTTTTTTTTTTTTTTTTTTGGTCTTTTTGAGACAGGGTCTCCCTGTGGCCCCAGCTGGCCTGGAACTCACTATGTAGACCAGGGTGGCCTTGAACTCACAGAGATCCGCCTGCCTCCGCCTCCCGAGTGCTGGGATTAAAAGCGTGCACCACCATGCCCGACTAGAACATTGAACTTTAAAAAAAATTTTTTAATTTTTTTTAAATTGTATGTGTATGAGTGTATTGTCTGAGTGTGTATATGTGCACCCGTGTCATGCAATGCCTGAGGAGGCTAGAAGGGGATGTCCAGTTCCCTTGGAACTGGAGTTACAGACAGTTGTTAGCCACCATCTGGGTGCTGGGAATTGAACCCAGATCCTCTGCAAGAATAACCAGTGCTCTTAACTGCTGAGCCATCTCTCCAGCCCAGGATGTTGAATTTTTTAAAATTATAGTGCGTTCAACTGGCTGTTCTTGCAGAAGACCCAGGTTTGAATCCTAGCACCTATGTGGCAGCTAAGAACTGTCCATAACTCCAGTTCCAGGGGATCTGACAGCCTCTTCTGTCCTCCGCAGGCATTGCGCGACACAGGTACACTTACCTACATGCAGGTAATACACACATATACATAAAAATAATAAAAAAATATTTTTTTAATTGTAGTGATTCATATTAAATGTCCTGGCTTTAGGGTTTCAGAATGTGGTATGTGAAGCACTTGAGTACTTATTTCTGAATTAGACCAATTTAGCTTGCAGTTTCTCCCAACAGTTGATAGCTAGATGATCCTGGGAAGTTTTACTAAACTATGCTTAGTATGCCAATCTGTAAAATGGACATAAAAATGAAAACTATGGGCCAGTTATACTGGTGCACACCTTTAATTCCAATACTCCAGAGGGAGAGGCACGTGGGTCTCTATGAGTTCAAGGCCAGTCTGGTCTACATAGTGAGTTCCAAGCTAGCCAGAACTACATAGTGAAACCCTGTCT